GTGTTATTTTTTCTTTTGTTCATGTTCTATGTATATATTTTTCACCTTGTTCTTTTAGTTCTTTGTTCTTGTTCTTCTCCAGATTACATAAAGGTTTTTCCATTTTTTTACATTATTTTTTATCACTACGTTTCCTCTTACCTTCCTTCCTTCCTTCCTTCCTTCCTTCCTTCCTTCCTTCCTATGTTGTCTACCCCTTTACTTCCCTCTTCTGTTTCCCCTCCTCTGTCTTCTCTTTCCTCTTCTCTTTCCCCTCTCCTTTTTATTCTGTCTCCTCTCGCTTCTACCTCTGTTACTCCTCCGCTTTCTTCTCTTCCTGTTCTCTTTCTTTATTTTTGGTTCTTCCTCTTTATTCTGATTCCTCTATTCCTCCTCCTCTTTATTCTCTTTCCCTTTCTGTTTCCCCTCTTTCGTGTTTCCCTTTATCCTCTTCCCTGTCGCTTCTTTTTATCCTCTTTCCCTGCTCTTCTTTTTACTCAGTCCTCTCCCTCCTTTCTCTTCTTCTCTTCATAATCTTCCTCCCCTTTTCTCTTCTCTATCCTCTCATTTTCTACATTTTATCCATTCCTTTTCTGCTTTTTCGCTTCATTTTCTTCGCGCGCGCGCTCTCTCTCTCTCTCTCTCTCTCTCTCTCTCTCTCTCTCTCATATTATCATCTCTCACTTCCTTCTTTATCTTCTCCTCTTCCTTCTTTACTTCCTTCTCTTCTCCCCTCTCACTTCCTTATTTATCTTCTCCCCTCTCACTTCCTTCTTTCTCTTCCCCCTCTCACTTCTTCTTTATCTACTCCCCTCTCACTTCTATTTATCTTCTCCTCTCACTTCCTTATTTATCTTCTCCCGTCTCCTTCCTTATTTATCTTCCCCCTCACTTCTCCCTCTCCTTCTTTATCTTCTCCCCTCTCTTCCTTCTTCTCCCTCTCATTTCCTTCTCTCCCCCCTCTCACTTCCTTCTTTATCTTACCTTGTTATCTTCTCCCCTCACTTTCTTCTTTATCTTCCCCCTCTCCTCACTTCATATTATCTTCTCCCTCTCACTTCCTTCTTTATCTTCTTCCCCTCTCCTTCCTTCTTTATCTTCTCCTCTCACTTCCTTCTTCTCCCTCTCACTTCCTTACTTCCTTCTTTATCTACTCCCTCTCACTTCCTTATTTATCTTCTCCTCTCACTTTATTTATCTACTTCTCACTTCCTGTTCTTCTCACTTCCTTATTTATCTTCTCCTCATTTATCTTCTCCCCTTTTCTTTCTCTTCCCCCTCTGCCTTCCTCCTGTTTATTCTTTCCCGTTTTCACTTCCTTCTCTTTATTCTGTTTCCTCTTATACTTCCCCCCGCTTATTTATTCCTCCTCTTCTCTCCCCTCTTGCTTACCTTGACCTCTCTCTCTCTCTCTCTCTCTCTCTCTCTCTCCTCTCTCTCTCTCTCTCTCTCTCTCTCTCTCTGGAAGTTTAATCTACCAGTCACCCGTCAGCACTGATTGACAGGTCACCACATTGTACAGTAGTTACATATATTTGGGTAATATTGTAAATTAGAACGATTAGTACTTGTTCTGCTACTATTACTACTACTACTACTTTTTTCTAAATGGCATCTAGCCTCCCCCAATAGCCATACCTTCGCCGCCATTACTACTACTGTACTACAGTACTACTTTCACTACTTCCTTTTTCTACTACTGTGCTACTACAACTATTACTACTTACTACTATTACTTACATTACTTAATTTTGTATACTACTACTTGTATTACTACATCTACTAACACTACTACTAATAATAATGATAATAATAAAAAGAATCCTAGCAATGGTTCTTCTCTCTAACTCTCCACCTCTTACTCTCCTCCTTCCTCCTCCTTTACCTGTAACTAGAAATACCAGCTGATGCTTTGTTAGTCGTCGTCAAGTAAGGCCTGTTGGAGCACACCGAGTTTCACGAGAAGAGCGAGTGTGTACCGGCTTGTGGTGCTTGGCTGTGAGTGTGTAAGCGTTTTATATATATATATATATATATATATATATATGTATACACGAGTATGCAGTCCACAAAGTTGTTTGTTATTAACAGGGCAGATACAAGGGCGAGGGACATAGGCCTAACAAAAGTAAAACTATTAAAGTTTTGATTGAATGAGAAAAGTTCAAGTACGTTGAAGAAGTTAGATTACAACCATGTCTTGATTTGTGGTGATAAACCAGGTTTAACACCACAAACAAAGCCTCTCAGAGTTGTGATTTCGTATCGAGAAACCCGCCGTGTTATCTGGACCCTCAGAGCCCGGTCATTGTGGTATCATACTGTGTTGTGGACGGCAACCACCTCACTTCACCCAATAATCACCCAGGTCACCACAGTCATGTCAAGTGGAGGCGATCCTTGGTGGTGTCGGCCTCAAATCACTGGGCGTCATGACCACCAGTAAGTTAAGGTTTTATTCCTGCAGATGTTTTATAAATACCTCTTCTCCAGTTGTCACCGCTGTGGGGAGCAGGCGTACCAACATGACGCTGCTCTGGAGAATATAAGTAAACATATCGTCCAGTGTTTCAAATTGGAAAGACGGAAAGGGTAACTATACTTTTATTTTGGGGGGATGACTCTAAGTTCTCACATCTCCAGTAATAGGGAAGACTTTACCACAGGAACCTTCCTTTGAGAATCTACCCTGTTAAGGTGGACCAACTCACTCCTGCCTTCCTGGGTGTCTGGTCAGTTCATCAGGGGCGTGAGTGTAGGCCTACCTCGACACCTCCTGCACACACACGCGGGTCTCGGGATTGTGTTGTGTGCTATTCTCTTGTGTTTAAGTATTAGGTGTCATTGTTATTGTGTAGTGTTACTTAGCGCTGCCCCATGTTCACCACCACCGAGGGATATATCGGAAGATCCCGTCCGCTTGTTCGTCCGTCAGGTCCACTCGTAGCATATACTGTACGTTTGTAAAATTAGTTATTCATTCAGTTTTCAGAGGATTGATGTGAAACGTACCCAGTCGTTGTTTATACAGTGGACATATGTTTTTGGCACAGTCGGTGGAGTTTTTTATTTATTTTTTGTTTATTTATTTTTTTTTTTTTCTGTCAATATTTTCTCATTAATGTTCTCTTTTCCATGACGTGATATGAAACTGGTCAAGGATATTGCTCACCTGCGGATATTTATTTGTTGCAATAAGAAGATGGTAATTAACGTTTCTGCCAAAGGGAAAATGTCAGACCGTCATATTCCCCGGTGGTGCAGCTGATGGTCTTCCCTCGTCACACTTTGTTGTGTTCTCTGGGGTGTGATGCTTCACCATGACCGATTGTACAACACCACACCCGTGATGTTATACCCATACCTGTCACCATGTGCATCACCACACTACACTCATTACCACCACTATGTGTATCCCCACTCCCACCAGCATGTACACCACCACACCACGCCCACCACACCCACCACCATTGCACCACCACACCACGCCCACCACCATGTGCACCACCACACCACGCCCACCACACCCACCACCATTGCACCACCACTACACCACGCCCACGTAGCACCAACACCACTTCACCCCGCGTAATACCACGGATTTGTAACCTCGAGTTTCCTGACCATCATCCCTGATAGCGTATTAAAACCTTGTCTGGCCACCACTGTTTTACCTCACCAGGATTCCCTTAACTGTAGGTGTGAGGACGCATCTAACTGACTCACTTAAGTTTTGACTCAAACATAGATTGTGAGTGGCTCGTGCATTATATATTCCTTTAACTAGATGGTGTAATAAAACTTCTTACAGATTCCCTTAAGATACGACACAAAGTTTAATCTTCAAAATATCGTAAGTTAGATTATTTCGTAACCTGCATATATGAGAACGTATCTTACTGGCTCTCTTATGCCGCAACACCTAAATGGACTCTCAGAGGTTCCTTCGATAAAATTTTCCCTTAGCCGAGTATTTTAAGAAGTACAGTACATTACCTCCAAAAGCAACTGACCATACTCCGTGTGAAACATTATGAGACCACGGATGATAGATATTGGGATATGCGTGCTCCTGCGTTGGTTGGCCAGTATTCACGAGGTGTCATATGTCGATTACTAGGGACATTTTCTGTTACCCATAGTAAATAATATGTTTGTAATAAAAGAAATATTTTTATACCCACATTGAGACAGCGAATGTGTGTGACCATTATGCAGCGAACAAGGTGTAGTGTAAATGTATTAGTTGATACAAACAGCGAAGACTGTCTACCGTGGTTTATATTGTTGGTTACGTAGTGACCCATCTACTTGATTAACACTACAGCTAGTCAGTAACGTCACGTAATATTTCCTATCACTCATACTATCGATTACTATAACATGTGGCATTCTAGAATATGTTAGCTGTAGCTTATGCATGCATTTATAGGTAAAGAAAGCAGTATTTGGTTGTCACTTTTATTTTGTCAGTATTTGATGTAAACACCTGCTTCTATGACGTAATTAAACCTGCGAGGGATGGATGCCACCAGCTCCGACGTTAGGTCTTGGCCGGCAGGGGTTCGTAGGTGCTCCCATGCCTCGAAGCGTGGTTGCCCAAACAAGCTCATTGTGGTTGAGGTCCAGGGATCTGGGCGGATGTGGCAGCAGTGTGATGTAGGGGTGTAGGCCAAACCACTCCTTAACAACTCGAGATGTGTGGATAGGACTGTTATCCTGGACGAGGTAAAATGGTTCTCCCTCTGGGAAGAACAGCGCTTCAACTGGCGGAAGCAAAACCCCCTCCAATACTTGACGATACTTGTGGCCGGTGAACCAGCCAGGGTCAACATCAGCCAGCGGTGACTCGGCCACTCCTGCTATCCACCACGTTCCGTGCCTCAAATCTGATAGTATAATATAGAGTTATGGATTATTACTAGTTCAAGAACACTTGTAATTGACAAATAAACGCACAAATAAAAATGAAATACCGAAGTTGAGGACACACACACACACACACACACACAGGGGCTTACCTGGTGTCAACCATCCGCCAAACAAATGTTGTAGATGTGGGACCATCTGTGCAAAACGTCTTCTCGTCCCAGAGGACTACCTGGTCCCAAAAGCTAACAGGCTTGTCTGTGTACTCAAGTACGTACTCATTCCTGGCCTCCATGTGACGTTCAGTTAACGCAGGTTTGCTTACTGGTCTACGAGCGTGATGCCCTGTGGAGCGGACTGTTTGAGATGTTTTTTTTTTAATATATATTTATATATATATTTTTTTTTTGCCCCCGAGGGGGCTAGTTTATTGGACACCCCCTACATCCAGTGCATTTGAAGCGCAGAAGCGTTTACTGTGCCCATCTTGGAAGCATGCATGTTGCATCGTAGGCCGGGGTCATTACAGGTGCTGGCAGCAGACTTGGATGGGTCAGCAGTAGTAGCAGCTACTATAGCCTGGTTAACGAAAATACACTGACAGTAATATTACATTAGATAACCTCCACGTTGTCCACATACCCCCCACATTATTTCTTGAGAAAAAACATTCTTAACCCGGTCATCCAGGGATGTGTAGTGTGGGCGGCCAATCCTTCACTTGTCGTCAGTAGCGCCAGTTTCCTACTGTCGTGTCGCCTAATCCATAGTGCCACGGTATGGCGGTGGACACCAACCCGCTGGACAGTTTCACAAATACTGTGTCCTTCATTGTGGGAGGAGACAATAGCTCCTCGTGTTACCTGTGATGTTTCCATTGTAAATGACATAACCAAGACAGTAATGGCTAATGTTGACTCGGATAGGTTTACAACGACTTGTGGAGTGTTTCGTGAAAGGAGTTCCGACACTGTGATCCCTTTCACATGTTTCGAATAATTCATGGTATCGTGACAGCAGAGCGAAAAGGAGAATGTTATGCATTGACTCAAGACTCCATCTACCAACAACGACTGAAATTGTCTTCCTATACTTTATGATATTAATCACTTTACCTTTTATCTTATTCCTATATGGCGACTCACCCCGTGTTGGATACTGTACGAGCGGGTGAAAGTTTACATATAATGTTTTATAAAAGTAGACCAACTCACATGCATTTACTTTGGCATATAGTTTAACAAATAATGTTATGTGTATTTATTTCGGCGTAATTAATATGATGTTCGGTTACCAAATGTAGTGGGATCAGTACGCCCCAGACCCACGCCTGCCAACCCTCCCGGGACATCCTGGCAGATACTTTTTTTTTTATACTTGTATACGTTTGGTTGACACATCTTCAGCTATGGTACAAAGTTAGTGGTCAAAATGACGCCGAAATTGCAGTACGTAACTAGAGGCATTCATCCCTATAGAAGCAGATAGAAGAGAAGATTTCAAGTTTGAATCTGAAATTGTGGGAGTTGGTTGAAGGAGGAATATTGTGGTGTGTGTGTGTGTGTGTGTGTGGTAGAAATAACACTTGCTTCCACCACCACCACCACTACTACTAATATCACCACCACCACCACTACTTCTACAAGACTCCCAGCACCATTTCCACTACCACCACATTTCCACACTACCACCATTTCCACTACTGGCACATTTCCATTACGATCACCATTTCCACTATCACCACCATTTCCACATCGCCATCATTTCCACTACCGCTACATTTCCACTAGACTACCACCACCATTTCTACACCACTACCACCGTCATTTCTACACCACTACCACCACCATTTCTGCGCGCGCCACTACCACCACCATTTCTACACCATTGCCAATACTATTTCTACACCACTACCACCACCATTTCTACACCCACCACCACCATCATTTCTACACCACCACCATCATTTCTACACCACCACCACCACTCTCAAATGTTGGTTGGCCCGGAGTGAAATTCATAATTGATGCTGAGAGCCGGGGAGCTGCTGCCCTGCTGTTGCTCTTGTTGTTGTTGTGTTATTGTTTTTAGTGGTTAAGTCTTGTTCATATTGGCCGTTGTTGTTGTTGGTGTGGTTCTGTTTACGTATTGATTGTGCTGACGCTACTGCTGTTGTCTTCTGTTGATTCTGTTGTTTCTTCTTTTGCTTTTGTTGTCTTCTGCTGCTGCTGTTGTTTTCATCCGTTGCTGCTGTTGTCTTTTGTTGCTTCTTCTGTTGTCTTCTGTTGCTTCTGCTGTTTCTTTTATTGCTTCTGTTGTTTCTTCTGTTGGCTGTGTTGTTTTCTGAGGCCGCCATCCCTGCTTCATCTACCGGTGTGAGGAGTTGTGGCCAGTTGTTGTTACTGCCTCTTGTTGTGCCGTAAGGGTTGTATGAGGGTTGTGTTACCGTTGGTGATCCCAGTGTTGTTGTATTGCTTCTTGCGTTACTGTCCGTTGTTTGTAGATCCCCAGCCACTGGCCTCAGAGATAGAGCAATCGGCATACATGTGATTATCTCTCTCTCTCTCTCTCTCTCTCAAAATCATCCCCGTACGCCAATTTTCGTAAGGAATTTCACACAGCTCGGTACAAATGACGTGTATGGGTGGGTGACGCCCCTACCAAGATTGTGTGTGTGTTGGGGTGGGGGCAGTATTGTGAGGAAGCTTATGGTTGTTTCAAAGCTTATCGCCTGAGTTGGTGGCCAGAGAGGGGGGAGGGGATGTCACCTTCACAAGACATGCTAAATTTTTTTGGCTGTACATTGGTTGGTGGTGGTGATGGAGGTGGTGTTGACTGGTGGTGAATGCTGTGAGTGTTGGTGGTGGTATTGAATGATGGTAGTGGTGGTGAAGATGGTGGTGTTGAATGCTGGTAGTGGTGGTGAAGATGGTGATGGTGTTGAATGCTGGGAGTGGTCGTGTTGAATGCCGGTAGGTGGTTGTGGTGTAACTGGTGTTAAATGCTAGGAGTGGTGATGGTGGTGGGGCTGTTACATACATACATACATACATACAAACATACATACATGCATACATACATACATACATACATACTACTGCAAGCTGGTGGTGGTGGTGGTGCTTGAGGGCAGTGTTGTTTGTGGTGAGGGTGATGACGTGGTCGAGGTCACTTGGCTTAATGTGCTGCATCTTGCTGTTTACTCCTGTGTGCTGTTCCTCTCCTACACCCACCTTACCCCCCTTTTTACACCCACCCCAGCCCTCTCTAAACCCATGTCACCCTTCCCTACACCCACCTCACCCCTCACTACACCCACCACACTCCTCGCTACACCCACCTCACCCCTCCCACACCCACCCACCCTCACTGCACCCACCTCACTCGTCCCCTAAACCCACCTCACCCTTCCCTACACCCACCCCACCTCCCTAAACCCACCTCACCCTCCCTAAACCCACCTCACCCCTCCCTACACCCACCTCACCCCTCCCTACACCCACCTCACCCTCACTACACCCACCACACTCCTCGCTACACCCACCTCACCCCTCGGTAAACCTTCTTCGTTACATCTAGTATACTTGAACCCATGTCCACCATACCTTTCAGTACACCCTCCAGTATAACCATCGCCACACCCAGTACACTTAGCTACACCCAGTACACCTTGTGTACGGTACGTCCTCCTCAGCGTCATCACTACACCCTAATACACTTATCAACGCCGCTGAACACCCCCCAGTTCTACACTTACACCTCTTTACCGTCTCTGCTGTCTCCGAAATCCACCACACTCTACACCCGGTCCACCACACTCTACACCCGGTCCACCACACTCTACACCCGGTCCACCACACTCTACACCCGGTCCACCACACTCTACCCCCGGTCCACCACACTCGACACAAAAACCTTCCCTCCCAGAGTACACCCCACTACACCCATCATTCCCCTTACAACCCGTCCTCCAGTACACCCTGCTAACACTCAACATGACTCTCTCCCTCGGGCGCTCCACTTCACCACAATGTACACACACCCACCACACTCATTACACTTCACAACACACACACACACACATCACACCCAATAACCTCTTTCCAGTACACCTCACTACACCCCAGAGTACACACACACACACACACACACATCAGTACACACTACAAAAACACATACACACACTACACCTGACAGTACACACCATACACATGATAATTGATGCGGCGAAATAAGGACATGAATATTTAGCGACAGAATTTACATATGTAGATGACACAACAAACTGCCTCTTGCTAGCTCCTGGCCCTGTCTTTCTCCTCTTGTTTATGAGAGAGAGAGAGAGAGAGAGAGAGAGAGAGAGAGAGAGAGAACGAACACACAACATATACTAATTTCGTTTTCTCTTTTTTTATGTGAGAAAGACAGACACAGTAATACACAGAACTAAGTATTGGGAATAGCTAAACAAAGAGAACACACACACACACACACACACACACACACACACACACGCCGAAACCCATTTGTTTGGTCTAGTTTGGTTGGTTATGGTTAAGTTTACCTAATTTCCCTAACGGCCACTTCGGGAGGGGTAAGCGGGAGGAGGTTGATGGCCTGTGTAAGATCACCCCCATTGTTAGTGATAGTCTTGTCTAGGGGTTATCTTGAGAAGCCCAGTACTGTTCCTGCTTTCATGGCTTCAGCTGGTTGACTGTTCCAAAAATCTACCTCCTCCTTCCCCTCCCTTCCTCCCCCTCCCTCCCCCTCCCTTCCCCTCCCTTCCTCCCCCTCCCCCCCATTCCCCCCTCAGTGAGAAGAAGTAGTACTGTACCCTCATAATATGTTCGTCCTGTATGACAACTTAGCGAGCTTTAAGTTGTGTGTTGTCTTGTGTTAGGGCTGTGGTTAGGTTAGGTTGGGTTAGGTTAGGTTGGGTTAGGTTAGGTTGAGTTAGGTTAGGTTAGGTTAGGTTGGGTTAGGTAAGGTAGAGGTAGGGAGTGATTTTGCCTTATGTTAAGATAGGTCAAGTAAGATGGGTTAAGTTGGTTAAGTTATGGGTAGGAGTGTCTTACCCATTTGTTAAGATAAAGGTGAATCAAAATAGTCGGGTGATTGAGTAGAGCATCATTAGATGGGTGATGTTAAATGCTGCTTGAAATTATTTATTGGGGAGGGGGGTGAAGGTGGTGGTGCAAAGGGAAAGAGTTGAGTAATCTGAAAGATGGTTGGGACAGACGTTGAGATAGAGTGTGTGTGTGTGTGTGTGTGTGTGTCATGTGTGTGTGTCATGTGTGTGTGTGGTACTCAGACAGTTAAGAGATAACATCCACCAGTGTACACCAACTTAAAACAACATTGGTCATGTCTCACAAATTCTTGGCCGACCGAATGTTAAACAACAAAATCACCTTTGGAATTACTGTCACACAAAAATATAACACCTGTCCATAATTGCGCCGAGTAATTACCTCAATTGAAAAACAGTAAAAAAACAGGAGAACGGTTTAATGACGTGTTCAATTACGTGTATTCTAACAAGGAAAAAGGTGATAGACTATTGGATAAAATATGATAATTGGATGGTCGAGGCTGTCTGTATAACATTGATAAGGTGGTCGAGGCTGTCTATATAACATTGATAAAGTGGTCGAGGCTGTCTGTGTAACATTGATGAGGTGGTCGAGGCTGTCTGTAGAACATTTATAAGGTGGTCGAGGCTGTCTGTAGAACATTTATAAGGTGGTCGAGGCTGTCTATATAACATTGATAAAGTGGTCGAGGCTGTCTGTGTAACATTGATGAGGTGGTCGAGGCTGTCTATTTAACATTGCTAGGGTGGTCGAGGCTGTCTGTAACATTGATGAGGTGGTCGAGGCTGTCTGTATAACATTGATAAGGTGGTCGAGGCTGTCTATATAACATTGATAAAGTGGTCGAGGCTGTCTGTGTAACATTGATGAGGTGGTCGAGGCTGTCTGTAGAACATTTATAAGGTGGTCGAGGCTGTCTGTAGAACATTTATAAGGTGGTCGAGGCTGTCTATATAACATTGATAAAGTGGTCGAGGCTGTCTGTGTAACATTGATGAGGTGGTCGAGGCTGTCTATTTAACATTGCTAGGGTGGTCGAGGCTGTCTGTAACATTGATGAGGTGTGGTCGAGGCTGTCTAGTATAACATTGGTAGGGTGGTCGAGGCTGTCTATAACATTGGTAAGGTGGTCGAGGCTGTCTATATAACACATAGGTGGTCGAGGCTATCTATACTGATGAGGTGGTCGAGGCTGTCTATATAACATTGGTAGGGTGGTCGAGGCTGTTTATTATAACATTGGTAAGGTGGCTGAGGCCGTTCGTATAACATTGATAAGGTAATGAGGCTGTCTGTAGAACATTGATAAGGGTGGTCGAGGCTGTCTGCAGAACATTGATAAGGTGGTCGAGGCTGTCTGTATAACATTGATAAAATGGTCGAGGCTGTCTGTAGAACATTGATAAGGTGGTCGAGGCTGTCTGTATAACATTGATAAGGTGGTCGAGGCCGTCTGTAGAACACGGATAAGATGGTCGAGGCTGTTCGCAGAACATTGGTAAGGTGGTCGAGGCTGTCTGTATAACATTGATAAGGTGGTCGAGGCTGTCTGTAGAACATTTATAAGGTGGTCGAGGCTGTCTATATAACATTGGTAAGGTGGTCGAGGCTGTCTGTATAACATTGATAAGATGGTCGAGGCTGTCTGTAGAACATTTATAAGGTGGTCGAGGCTGTCTATATAACATTGGTAAGGTGGTCGAGGCTGTCTGTATAACATTGAAAAGCAACAACAAACAGATTTCAAGGTTGGTCGGTGATGATAAATATTCGGTTGATGAGGATAATGATCATATTAATAAGAAGGAAAATTAGTTATGAATTATGATGAAAAATAATTACCTAGAATACAAAATAATGATGGTTGAAATAATGACAAAACTAACAATCATAATGGAAATAACAATGATAGCAGCTTAGTAATGATAATGATAAACCTCATTATATACAAGACATACATGAGTGTGTACATAAGACCAACACAGAAGCTAATAACTCACATAGGTGGTGTACACCCCCCCCCCCTACCGTGTATGCATCTTGTGGACGCTACATATCACATGTTAAAGGTAGTGTGTGTGTGTGAGAGAGAGAGAGAGATTAACTTTGAACATCTGAAAATAATCTTATTTAAAAAATCCAGGTGTATTGGGGGAAATGTTGTATCTGTCCAACACACACACACACACACACACACACACACGGGGGGCAGTATGGTGTCACTGTAGCCCGGTATGGTGACCCCTTAACTGCTGCATGAGGAGAGTGAAGTAT